CGTGACATACTGTTCTAGCATAAAACTAGGATGCCTAGTAACCTTGGAATAAAAAGGGCTCCCTTTTTCGTATTGGGCAACTTTACAAGGAACCAGGACTACACAAAGGGAGAAAGGGCCTGGGCCTACTGAGAGTTATAACAATAAGCCGCCAAAGACCTCAAGGAGTTGCCTAAACCGTAAACCCACCTTTCGGAAGGGCCTGTGAGAGCTTAGGTTGTTCGGAAGTTGGCAACCGGCAGCGACTGCTGGGCTACTCCTCTAAACACCCCACCCCATATCCTATAAACCTTACCCCTATACTCTGCGGCCTCTAAACCATAAACCCCCCAAACCCTGTATGCCCTAATGCTTCAATCCGAAACACGAAAATGTAATTTCACCTGACCTGCTTCTTCGGCTCTTCTTCAAGCAGTCCACTTTACGGATGTTGTGTTGCTTTTTCGCATTCCAGGGTTAAGGGTCTAAGTGCCTTGTGTGCTTAAATACCGGGTTGAATGATTGGAGGGTTTCCGACACTGCAGCACAAGCCCCCATTCCAAAGACCGTGTTCTGACGGAGCTGAGTGTACAGTTACCATAGCGGACAATACAGCAAATCCTATGTGCTCCCCTGGAACGACTAAACACCACTGCTTACGTCCGAAAGCTTGCGGAAATCGGCACAAATATTACGACACGTTATCACACCAGTCCCTACAACAAGAAGAATCACACAAATCAGAATAAGAACGGCAATAAGTAGAGCCCTACTGCCAGAAAAAAGCATAAGAATACGGTTCGTAGTGGTAAGAAGAGATCGCTATATTGTAAACTCCAAAAAGTTGGAAACCCAACTAAGGACAAATCGTGCTGGGATTCCCTATACTTTGCTCTTAGGGGTTGAGGCTATCGGGCTTCCAACTTTTAGGCTTCTGCTACCAGCCAATGGTTTTGGGGTTCCCTTGGCTCTTTAGCTCCTTATTTAGTAGGGATTACCATCATAACTGGCTCCTTAGCTCCTCCAAGATCAATGGCTAGATAGTTACTCTGAGTTAGCCTGCCGAGGTTCTCATGGTGCAAGGCGCTTCTTGGAGGCTCGGGAGCGGCAGCTGAAGTGCGCGGCCCAAAATGTCGAACTTCACTGAACTTAGAACCCTAGCTAAAATAGCTGTTTCTTAGGGATAATAATAATAACCAAAAATAAAACCTATTTCTAAGTACCCCCTAGGCTTCGTGCGTGAAGATTTAGGGTTTAGGGTCTGGGACTTCAAGGTTGAATGGATATACAGTTTTAAAGGGCTTCGTAGCATACTTACAGCATGAGCTCGGAGACTGAACTGAATCCCGAAATCTAGCAAAAAAGGAGTAAGTAATGTTAAGGCATCAACTTTTCGAGCCCAGGTGCTTCGAGGCGTGCTGAACAATCCGTGAGGTCTTGCTTGGCTTGTGACATTGTTGCGAGGGTGCTATTGAAATCATGGCCTGAACCGGCGAAGGTTGCAGCGCTTCATGCTAAGCAGTGTCGCGACAAGCCACAGCAGCCACGTCCTCAAAATCCTGAACGGAAAAGCGAAATATGTCACTCTTGGACTTTTCTGCTTGAAAACACGGCAACATGAACTACCCTCAATAAGAACACAGTAGCCCCCAAACCTCGAGAGTCAAAGCGCACAAAGACTCTCACCCGCTAGGTTGCCGCGAATACTAGGGTACCCTTATACCTGGTATTCAGCTATAAAAAGGGAACCTAACCCATGATTCCTGGCGCCATTGTCATTGTCCAACACCTCCTCTGCAACTGAGTCCTTCAACCCCAAACTGCCCCTATGTCGACCGCACTCTGTGGATTCCAATGGCACTCGTCTAAAGCCGTCCTAGCCGTCCCAACCCCTCCTCAAAACAAGTCCCAAACTCTCAAGGCAGCAAGAACTCAGACCCCAGATCGTTGAACCCTACATTCCATGCGAAGAGAACATCTGTGAGGCCCCCACTCCCCCTTCTTCCGGTGGATGTTTGCCAGCCTTTTATTGGATGCGCTTGATGTGCTTGTCTGTTGGTTAGGGCTCTAGGCTTAAGCTATGCCTGAGAATGCGATTGTTGTTCTTTTGTGTGTATCGGGTCTTTCTATAATAGTTAGGAGCGCCTGGCGATGTAGTTTGGATGGGCCCTACAAGGAGGAACATGGGTCGTTTATGGTAGGGATTTACAGCTCAGGCCTTTGGGGGATCAGGACTTGAGGTGTGCAGGCCTGAGATCCCGGTCCAGGGTTTGGGGCTTATGGAATTTCGGGGTTCGTTGTCTAGGGATTTAAGCTTCGAGCCCGCTAGTCCATTCACTGTCTCTAACGGGCCAAGTCGACTCAAAAAACCTAGGCCCCTACTTCTAGACCCCCAAAAACCCTGAGCCCAATTGCAAGAATCAAAAGCCCTAAGCCCCAAAAATCCTCCCGGGGCCTTTCCGTCTAAAGCTACCCCCAGACTTCAAACCACCAACTGCACAGGGTTTTGATCCGGCGCGAAACCTTAATACACAAACCATGGCAAAAGACACCCAACAACGTCTAGGGTTTTGGGTTCAGAGAAAAGACAACCGATATCCAGTCTTCTGGTATATGTCACTTGATTTGACTGAAATCACATTTCCGCCCTGTCGACTAACACCGTCCTGTCTGAATTTCACTAGCACACCAACCCCCAAACACCCCAAATTTTAAACCCAAGCTCAAGCCCCCTTACGCCTTCAGCCCTGTATACTTAATCGTCTACCCCAAAATGCTTAATCACAAACCCTATTCCCTGACAGCCCTGAACAAACCCTGGAAACCCTATATAACCCTTGAAATCCGCAACTCTTCCGCGCCTTATATGTCACACAACTGTAACAGCCGCCCAGAGAACAACAACCCAAGCCGATGTTCAACCCTGCAAATACAAACTCTAAATCGCCTTGAACCCTAAACATTGATGGAACTTAGAGAACTTATAGAGTCTATGATGCAAAACAATGCCCACAGAACAAATCCGAGCCGATGCGGCTTCTTCCTCAACCATCCCTCCGAAGAGGAGTTTACCTGCCCGAAACTGGGTTGTATCCGGGATGTATAAGTGTCGTGCGCGTTTCCATCAGGGCTCTTTAGGGTATAATTAAGGGCTCGGGCAAGGGTGGCGTTGTGGGCTTTAAAGGGGAAAGGGCTTGGAGGAGGTGGGATCTCTTGTAGAGAAAGTCCGAGGGTTCGGGCTTTAGGGTGCGTGACTTACCCCGAACACATATCGGCTTCAGGCTTGGGTTCCTTCAAGGGATCTATAAGGGCTCCTTTAAGGGATCCATAAGGGTTCCTGTAAGGGATCCATAAGGGTTCCTGTAAGGGATCCTCAATACGAGCGCCCTCAAAATAGACTCAGGACACCTACAATAAGCACATCGCACAGTCAGCATTTGATAGTAACCCGGTTTGGGCCGGGTGCACTCTAGGGCCTAAGGGCATTGAGCATCGGGGTTGAAAACCCTGAACCCCCTAAACCCCTAAACTCTAAACCCTACTCCATTAGATCCCAAGACCAGGTTCCTCGGCAGGGGCCCTGATAAATAGACTAAGGTTTTGAGGGTTCTGCAAGGGTTCTTCAGAAGGGTTTCGACAAAGGGTTAATAACGGCAACGGTCAGTAGTAGAGAGGCCATAACAAAAAGAATGATCTCTTGGGCGGAAGGCATGATCATGCCGGTAGCTAGTCAGGCCTCTACATCACATGGAGACAGCTACGAACCACAGTACCATATACCCCAAAAACCCAAACCCTAAAATCCCGAAACCCGGAAAACTGTCGCCCCCCTACTTGCTACCCTGTCCGTATACTAGCATCATTCAGGAGCTCAATGGGTTCCGGACCGGTATGGGGTGTGGGGTCTAATGTCATGTTTAAGGATTAGGTGTTCATGGTTTAATTTAGGGAAAAGGGTTGAAGGTCCAGGGTGCAGGGTTTAGGGTGCATGTCTGGGCTTATGGGTGAAGTTAATGCTTGAGGTTTAGGGCGCATTTATGCGGTACATGTATTCCTGCTTTTTGCTCTTCTGTTGAAGCGTCGCTGTCAGCTAAGATGTCCGAACGGCGCCAGACGAGAAATGGCAGCTGCTTTGCCAGCCGTCGTTATTTAGGATTCAGTGTTCAGCCTGGGCCTATGATACTCTGAACTGGTTTTTGGTACATCAAACCTTGCTGGAAGTCTTCTTCCGATCTTCCGGAATGATAGCAGCCCGATTTGCTTACAAAGGTGGGTTGTGGAAGCTTAAAGCACACCTATTTAGGCCCCTATATCCCTAAATCCCTTATGGAATCCTTATAGTATCCCTTTTAAGGAACCCGTAAGGTAACCCATACAATTCCCACAGCCTTGAACCCGAGACCCTGAGATTCACGAAGAAACGGGTCCTCGGATCGGCGAGATGTCTTGAAACTGCCTGGGGCTCCGCCCCCTGCTTGAACGTCCCTGGGTTGCATTTCAGGCTCAGGGTTTAGGGTTTAGAGTTTCGGCAATTTTGTCAACAGCGAACTGCCCGATTTCGGGCGTGGGTTTAGGGTTTTTTGGATGGGTTGGAAGTACCAAGCTGTGAAGAATATACTATTATATCGTCAGTTGGCTGAGCAATTTTCAAGTTGTTTGTACGACTTTCTGAATCGCTTCATCTCCTATGTGCATGGCTTTTGCAGTCCCTCGTGTGACTCCTGTAGTACCAGCATTGCCCGGCTGGAAATTCATAAGTCGTGCAAACCCAGGAACCTCCAAGCCGCCTCCGTCATCTCTCATGGAATGGAAACAAGCTTGAACAGCTTGGTGCTTTGAGGGGCTGCAGGCAACAGTATGGTGCTCCATTTTGCGACATATCTCGACCCCTCTAGGCTGAAACCTAAACCCTAAACTTAACCCTCTGAGTTTAAGAAGGCTGCAGGCCAGCTAGAAGCGGATTTCGCCTGAGATTCTGAACCCTGAGAGCCCCTCAGAGCAGGCAGGAAGAAGGCGGCGACTCAGTAGGGGAAGGAGATCAGCTTTCCCATTCTGGCAAGGAAGAGCCGGTGGTGGTTTAGGGTTTAAGGTTTAGGGTGCGTGTGCACCCGGATATTGGGCTGAGGGTTTCTAGGGCAGCAATTGATACTGAAGTTCGTGCTCTTGGCCCGAGACGCTAAGCCCTAACTCCCAGCTTGAGGTCCTCCATGCGAGAGTCCTCACATCGAATGGTTGCGTGCGCTCTTAGGAGAAAGCCACAGTCTCCATTCTACAGGACACTCTTAAGGCTGATGCCATGACATATGGGAGTTTCCGAAAATTTGGGGCACCTTATTTTTGGGACCTTGGGATCCTACTAGTTAGGGTACTATATTGGGGTCCCCCATTTTCGGAAACTCCCATATGCTCTTCCCAAAACCCGAAACCTGAAACCGCGGCCTATGGACAAAAAACTCCTGCCTTCTCCACAGTACGATTCTTCGAGACTGGGGTAGTTTGTGTTACAGAAGGTAAGACAGGGTGGTAAAACGGGTTTGTTTAGGGCTCTAGAACGTGTGGAGTTGTATTGGGAGTTTACAGGTGCACAGGGGCGGGAGCAAAGATTGGCCTACTAGCGTTCTGCAAGAGTTCTACAGGATTTCCGTACACCAAGGTTTTAGACCCTTCTGTGTCATGCCGTGTCATGTAGTACCGCGCTATTTTCCAGTTATTGCGGCACCCTATCCACGATTTTGGCAAGTCAACAGGCAACTGCATCGCAGAGCACAGTGTAGCGGAGACCTCTGGGATATGGGGTATTGAAAGGGCTACTGGTGTAAGGAAGTAGTGAAGCAACTATGTTTGTGTGCAGCTGCACCTTTGCATGTATGGCACGTCTTCGAAACCGCTCCATCATCGCTCTTGGGAGAAAGCTCTGACACCTAAACGGGTTTTGGGCACCGGGTGCCCTGCCCCCTTAATAACATGAGGGTACCCTTTGCAAAATATTCAGTTTTGACCCAGAGACCCCTTCAGCAAAAGGTAACCCGGCAGAACTGACGGTTGTCGCAAGGGCTTCGGGCAGAGGTCAGGGTCTATAGGGCCTTAAGGTGTAGAAAGCGTTTTGGCCTTGAGGCGTTTTGTGATTTTAGTATTCAAGGGTCAGGAAGCCCATGACAACACAAACCCCTGAACCCTAGGCCAACTAAACCCCTCAATGCGCGAACCCTATAACAGACCTCATAGTAGTCAGTTAGTACTTAGCCGTATAGCTACGACAAAACCTAAATGATCTTGATAGATACAACCTCTACGATTACCATTGATTATTACCCTCGAAAAGCAACCTTAAAGTAACCTCTACATAGCGAGGCTCTGGAAGGCTTGCCCAGACCGGCCGGTGCTTTCGGTTTAGGATCACCGAAGGAACCCTAGGCCGAAAGAAACTGCGGGAAGAGCTGAGGCACATAGGGAAGATGGCAAAAGTGATGCCCACGTCGAGGGAGACGCGGATCCTTTTATTGGAGCTGGTCGAATCAAGGTCGAGGTTTTATGGCTTCGGGTTTAAGGATGTTTTCAAAGGTTCCAGGGTCCAACCTCATCAGCTTCAGTATGGAAGGTCATCAATCACATGCAACCGAATGGCTTTCAAGTTAAGGGCATCAGCTTCCGGACGGCAGAATCCAACACACGGAACAAAAACAAACAAAAGCCCTGCTCCGGCACGCGGGGCAACAACCTCGCTGCACCCTAAACCCGACCCGATAGATGCCGAACTCTAACCCACATAACACCCTGTGTGCCCTTACGCGGAGAGTCATTCGCGGCCATGTCCCTGAGTAGAAGAACATGGGTCCTGCGGCAAGCGATACAGCCCAAAGGTATTGGAGTTTAGGGTACCGGGTTGGGAGTTTGGGGTATGGGGTTGAAAAAGTCTTGCGTTTATGTGGCTTCTCCATGGCGAAAGTCAGGCTTAGGGTTTTTGGGGGTTTAAAAACCCTACACGGGTTTGTAGGCTTTGGCGAAGAGCCTGATCTATCTGGTTTGGGAACCCATACTCGAAACACCGGAATGCTAAGTAAGATTGGGGCCTGAATGGTCATAAGAAACTCTTTGGTTTTAGGGTTTAGGGGGTTTAGGGCATCTAGGGGGTTTAGGGGACTAGTAGGGGGTTTTAGGGTTTAGGGGTTAGGGGTTTAGGGGTTTAGGGCAATGGAGTTTAGGAGTTTAGAGGTCAAGGGCTGAGGGTGTAGGGGCTTATAAAGGGTTTAAGAAGATCATGCTGTAACCCTAGCCCTAGTACGGAACCGGCAACACTGGCCGTAGTAAGGAACCTTGAGGAATCGCAATATTCAGTTTTCAAGCCCCTACATTGCATTCATAGCATAAGATAGGGCTATTGGGTCGGCATGGCTGTATCCTTTGGACCAACGACCCCCCCACGTAGGCATGGGTACTTACAGCCGATTGGCTACGCACTAAACCCAACATGAGCCCGAATCATCGGTCCTGCACAAGATCACAAACAGACATCCAACTAACGAGGAATCTAACTTCAGGCCCAGGCGCTGCTTTTTGACACAAGATCGGAAGCAAACTTCTGACTAACGAGGAACCTAACATCAGGTCCAGGCACAGCTTCATGATTTCCAGTACTGTACTGCTCCCTGCCGCCTATCCGTGACCAAAACCTGCAAAACCCGGTAGGGTGCCTTCTTTCTGCATAATCTGCATGGCGCAGTCCTGAGCTGGAAATGAGATTTGCATCGTGGGTTCAGCAGAGAGAACAGGACAGGCTCATAATTGAGCCGTAGAGCCCAACCCAAGCCCTAACCTAAACCCCGCACAATCAGCGACTGCACGATATCATGAATTTTCGACCAGCCAAGCTTTCGGTAGTCATTTAAAGCTCCAGGAAAGACCATCAGCCCAAATCCGAGAACCGAATCTTTGTGCAAACCCGGCTTCATAAACTGATTGAGCCCTGTAAGACCATACAATCATTAGATAATCATGCTGAAAGCTATCAATACCCTGAAGCCTTAAACTCTAAACCCGCTAAACTATCGCATACGAAGCCCTGGCCATTTATGTGTGATGAGTCGGGCACGTGTCCTAAACCCTAAGCCCTCAACGCTTAACCATAACCCTAAGCCTTAAACACCAAGCCCGTCTTTAAGCGCGGACTTGGAGTGTATGCGGAAAGCGAAGCTCTGCCCTAAACCCTAAACCGGCTTGTGGAAGGGTCAAGGGCCATTGAAGTTGGCAGATGTTGTTGTTATGGGTGCCTCAATGACTGGAACCGGGGCTGCGGAGTAATATATTTTTTCATGAACAGGAACCCTACAAATCCCTACAACAGTCCAAGGTCCTATATGAGCCCAAAGCCGTGAAGGAAACTGAAGCTGTTGGCTGTCTTTAGACTTCGGTTTCACCTGGATGGGTTGGTTCAAGACAACTTAGGTATATCGCATCGCTACATGTTTTTAAATTCCCAAATTCCAAGTCTAATTGCTATGACCACTAGATGGGAGTTTCCGAAAATAGGGGACCCTAACACAGGACACTATACACTAGGATCCTTAAAGGAGGTACCCTCAATTTTCAGAAACTCCCATATCAAGCCGAACCTCACTAGGCACTTATCCCTCGAACCTGTCTCTCCTGGCACACAAACTGCCATTGAACCTGGTTTTGGTCCTTGTGCCCGTCGGAACTTTCAAGAGAAGTCGTGATAAGGAATTCCTGGTGCGTCCCTATAGGAAGTCAGCAGAGTCAGTCATTGCAGTCCGAACCTGACCCGAAACCCGAAGTCCTGCAAGAACGCACATTGTGACCCCATAAACGGGGTCACGATCGCAAACCCCAATCCATCTAAGCTAAGTCCCGTAATGACCCCTACATGAAACCAAAGACGAACGGATCTCAAAGTAGCCCGAGGCTCCATGGTGCTCTTGTACAGCTTGCGCGCCTCTTCTCCTTGCATCCTTGTTTTGACCGTGTCCTGCAGGGTAGATCCTTATGTATGAGGTTTGGGTTTAAAATTTTCGGCAGCGGGTTTGCGGCTTGCCTACACCAAAAAGTTAAAACCAATTTCTTGCAAGGATTCTGTACAAGGCTTTGGGGTGAAGGGGGGCTGCTGATGTCTTAGAGATGAAAGGTCACCAAGAGCGAAAACAGGGCTCCCCACAAACCTATGCTCGACTGTGGCATGCAATTCTACACCGAAGTGTGTAGAAGGCACCCCTGCTCTTTAACAGCAACAGGATTGAGGAACTTGGGTTCCAGGAGACTGGGGAGCAGGATTTGCGGTTCCGGCTGCGATGGCAACGTTTGCTCTTCAGGATATGAGTTAGTGGACCCCTCAAAGACCCATTGGATGGGCCGATAGATAGCTCAGGGCACTTGCAAACAAGACCAGGAAGAATTTTCAGAAGTTTTCAGACTACCTGCCGACAGCTACGGCACATCCCAGACATGGTTCTGAAATCTGCACTCAAACCCTGGTCAACATGCTGTGGTTATACTGTTGATGATATAAATCCTGCATTACCTTAAGGACCCTAAACTATGGGCTTTATGGTATACTCCTTATTATGGGTAATGCAGGATTTATATCATCAACCGTACCATTGGCAGGTCTCAGTATCTTATGACTGTGGCAGATGTCCCTTGCTGCTCTTCTGATTACTGTTGCGAATCCTGGGAAAACCGCTGCGGACTGGACAAGTCGCAACTACACCCGCTGAATCACCAAAGTTCTCGAAGTCACCAGAGCAGATTTAAGGCATCATCAAGCAGACATAATCTGTTTCTGTATTTGTCACGCAGGCTAGCTACACAGACCCGATATCCTCAACATCACACCCTCATCCATGTTCGACACCTAAACCTAGCAAAACCCTAATTCCTAAATCCAGAGTAGACGCAAGCCCCCTTGGTAACGAAAAGTCGCCTGAGGCATGGTCGCCAACACGGACACGGCACCGGCGAACGCGCCAGCCACTCCGTTGTAGATCGGATTGCCTTTGCAGCTAGAGGTTTTCAAGTTCTTTGTGGCTCCCCTGAGCCCCAAACACTTTAAACTCTAAACACCTGAAGCTTGAACCCCTTAAGCCCTCAAGCCCTAAACCTAAGGTTTTTCGGGTTTAGGGTTTCGGGTTTAGGATTTAAGGTTTAGGGTTTAAGATTTAGGGCTAAGGGTTTAGCGTTTTTAGGGTTCTATTATTCCACCTCAGGGGTCTCAGTTACGAGTCTCAGGGCTTCGGCCCCGGAGTTCACGTCTGTCCAGTCCTTCCGACGTCCCTGAATCAAGGAATCTACTTGAACCTATACGTATATACAGATATGTATATATATATATATATGTATATATATATAATATAAATAGTAGGATACCTATAAGTACCTACAAGGGGTATTCCCTGATTAAGGGATTTTGGACGGTCCGGCTGCTTTGGTCGAATTAGGGCTTGCTGGCTTAGACAACCCCGCGGTTTTGGGGTTTGGCGTGAATCGAGAATCCCAAAGAAACCGCACAAGGTTTGTTTAACGATCCATTTTAGAGGTCTGTGATGGTTTAGGGAACTGAAGTAAACTCAGCCTAAACCTCGTGGCCGGGAGGTTAAAGCCTGAACGAAAGTCGTCGAACGTTTAGGCTTTAGGGTGAAACGTAGTGGGAGGCATCCACAGGGTCCAGCTTGGAGGTTCTATAACCCTAAGGGTCCATGTACCTAAATAGTATATACATTGGCCTTAAAGTAGTCCCTATATGGGTACATTGGGGCCAATGTATCTGCTATTTGGGTACATGGACCCTTTGGGTAATAAGCATAAAAATTGAAAACCCTCAATGCAAAATCTGAGAGGGGCATCTAAGGCTTCGACAAGGAGGGTTCTATAAGAAGCATAAGGCTCTCAGAGCCCCTAAGAGTTTAAGGGGGGCTTCAGCAACCATCAGAAAAATCGACCTGAATCCGAACCCACCCTTCAAAGGGGACCCGCTGAATAAGCAATGTGACTGTCCAAGGTCTTGTCACCGCCAGTCAAGAACCTTCCGGGCTCGAGTCTCTGGCATTGAGCCGGACGTGTTGAATGTGTGCGGGCTCTGCTGCTGAGGGGTACAGTGGGGTCGGGGGTTTTTGGGTTTCGGGTGTTTAGGAGATGTCTTGCTGAAAATTCGTGTGTCAAGCCAGCCTTAACATTAGGCCTGGTGTGGTTTGGAGCTTTGAACACGTCTTTGGGCAGGACCTTCAGGGTGTAGGCATCGGCCAATCACTACTCTACATCTCCAAACCAACCGCACTGCAGAAGACCCTCTTTTTCATTTCAGGGCTGGAGTTCAAAGCTTGTTCCTTTCGGGATTCAGTTTCGTTTGCCTAGGAGTTTCGCATTTAGAGTTTAGGCTTAGGGGCTTGGGCCTTGTGGGTTTCGGACACTTCGCCCATGAAGCGATCAGCTCTTGGAAACCCGACACCCTCATCCGACAGCACCGGGGCATAGACTTCAGTAAACAACGCTGTGTATCATTCTGTATATATGTATGCATGTATGGATGTATGCATGCATGTACGTACGTATGCATGTATGTATGCACGCATGTGTTTACGTCTGTCCGTATGTTGACGTAGTCAATAACTAAGTAAATAAATAAGTATATATATATATATATATATATACAGGTACATGTGTGAGCTTGCTTGTGTGCGTGCGTGTTCATGCATGTGTGTATGTACACACCGACCTACGTATCCGCCCATCTATCCATCCACCTACCTGTCTACCTGTCTGCCTATGATTTATCTGTCCATCCATCTATCCATCTATCTACCTCTCTCTATCTATCTGTATATATCTCTGACTTTACGTATGTATTCCTATATCTACATCTATATACAGAGACACAGCTGTAGATACAGATACGGAAACAGATACAAACATAGATATATAGATTCAGAGATATAGGAGTCTGTAGATATATAGTCATAGACAGATATAGATACAGATGTACTGGGAGACAGAGGCTATGACAGAAGTGACCACCGAGAGCTCATAAACGCCCACAGCGCCACCCCAAACGCAGCATTCCCCAAATGTGACATCACCAGTTCTCATATCCATAAGTACTTTTGGGCGATGGGTAACAACAAACTGCAGCGTGTCTCACCACTGTCGTCCCAGCTCCTTTCCAGCCCCAACCCTAAACCCTCAAGCCCTGACCCTGCTATCTCGACCGGCATCAACTGCTCCGCCAAAGGGCTGTTTCGCATAGAACTGGACAGGGAATCGTACCTAGGGTGCGGAGTTTCGGGTTCTCGATGCCCATGCAAAATTCAAAGGACGCTCCAGCTGTCAGTGGTCATAAAATGGCTTGTGTGGGGAAGGATGATGACAACCGGATTCGTTTTGCCCATGGGACCAGTAACCTGTCTAGCATAGCTGACTGCATTATGGGTACAAGCTGATCTATCTAGGGTTTGAGGAACGGGGCTTATAAGGGAAGTGAGGTTCTTGCTGTTCATTAGCCTCCCCGGACAATCCTCAGCATGCGCTCACTAAGCTGTCAAAAGGAACTTGGTATAGACTCATCACATCCCCAATATAGACCCCGTTTCAATAGATCCTGCGTTGTAGTTGTGGGCTGCAGCCGTTCGAGACTTATACTGTCTTGTCAGGGTTCGGGGCTTAACTACGGCTTAGCATTTCCTTGATTCTAGGGTTATCGAGCTTAGGGGTTTAGGCAGGGTTTTGTAGGGCTTCGGGTTCTTGAGCGAAGAGTTGAAGCCGATATTTCCGGTGTTTCTCGGACTTCAGGATTCAGGGAGCACTTCCCAAAGGGTCGTATTTATAAGTACATGTGTAGTAGAATGTGGGGAATGCCATGATTTGGGATAGTATCCCCCATAACACTACCTGGGACCTTTTGGGTTTGGGCTTCCTGGGTTTAGGATGTCGGAGTCTCGAGTTTCTGGGTTTAGGGTTTAGGGGTCTAGGGGAGGGGTTTAGGGGTCCAAGGGTTTAGGGGTTTAGGGTTTTTTCTGGGGTTAAGGATTTAGAATTCGGGGCTGTTGGTGTTTACAGCTGTATAATGCGTCAGGGTGCAGAAGTATCGGGCCTTAGAAAGTGTGGGTCTTGAGCTAGAGGCGTTTGCAGGACATGATATGTCTTTCAGAACGCCTTCGGAATTTAAGGCAAGAAGCCTGTGAATTCTCAGCCCTTCAATCGGCCTTAGGGTATCGTGCTCAGGATCATAAGCTTCTTCTCCATGTGGGATCCTTCGCAGCCTCTTCACACAGATACTTGCCTTGAAGAAGTGGTGGCAAAGGGTGAAGCTTCCAAAGCTCCACTCTACAGCCGCCAAGAAGTACCGAAAACTCTCGCTAAAACCCTGAAAGCGCCAAAGACCCAAACCACATTGAACATGACCAACCCACATCTCCAACAAAAGCAAAGCCTCAAACTCAAATTCTCAACACTCAAATTTTTTTTCTCCAAACTACACTCCTGCTTTTCAAGCCGTAGCTACCGCCTGATTCGTCGCCTGCTTTGCAATGGTGGGGACAAGGCCCATGTAGAGGCCAGCTGGGCCTGAACTGTGGCTACGGCTTGCAGGGTTTCGTTTTTGTTTCCCCTGGAGGCCCTGGTTTCGGGTTTATAGGGTTTAAGGTTTAAGGGAAAGCAGGCCGAAGCCTGTTCTCTGAAGGCCCCTTCTTGGCCCTTGAAACTGTAGTGTTGTCTGGGCCTGAGGGTTTAGGGCATCATTTCAGGCTTGCCTTCAACTGCCATGGCCTGTTTTGTGCAACCAAGGCCCTCTGATCAGAACATAGAACCACCAGTAAAAGCCTTGTGGAAGCATACCACTGCGTGAGGAACTTTGCGTTCAGAAGCTCTTCGGGCTCTATGTATACAGCTTCCTAAACCCTGAACCCTTTGGAGCATGGGTTGGATTGTGTCCCTAAACCGTAAACCCTGAACCTTAAACCCAAAACCCTGAACCTTAAGGATTGGCCGACTTCCGTGGTTGCAGATGCTCTCGCAGATGATAATGAACTGATGGGTATGGAGCAGTATTGTGAAACATGGCTTTCAACGCAGAGAACTGCACCAGGTGTCGATTTCAACAGTCCCCAACGTTGTTTATAATTCGGGCTCCATAGTACACCCTTCAAGTATCCAACAAATTGATCCCCCCTCCAACAGAAAGGTATCACACCCTTATATAGGGTTAATATACCGCTTCTCTCAAGGGCTCCATGTTTCGGATCTTCCCGGCGGCCTGGTACTACTTCTTAAGCGATCCCCGAACGATCCAGCTAACTACGTGGCTCCCTTTCCCAGAGACCCCAGAGCCCCTTCGTCAAGGCATATACTCTGAAACAAAACAGGAACCCTCTTTGACTTAAGGTATACTTAAGGGGCTCTTTGCAGCCTTTGGGTCAAAGTGCAGACGTCCGGCCTTCGTTCTTCAGAATCTTGACCAAGGCATCGAAAGATCCAGAGTAGTTGCCGGTGCCTCATACACTAGAAGTCGATGTCCAGAGTCACCAGAGTCACCAAAACAATGTACAAATCGGGCTCTGGGTTAAACGATATGGGACATGATAAATTCTCCAAAGTCGATGCCTTGTATAGGGTTGTAGAAGGCATTACGAGATCTTTTTATAGTTGATAAGGGTATTCTGGTAATACTAGGGTCGTAGAAGGGTATGGGCGCTTTCGAACAGGTCTTATGTACGGGAACATCTGACTGAAAAGTCCTAGCTGTAGATCGCTCTCGAAACGTCCCAATGCCGAAATTGACCATCCACGAGTCGAGGCGTATCAGGAGGATTCCAACTTTTGTGGATAAGGCTCACTGGGACTAGGGTTCAGGGCTTGTTGGTATAGGGTTTATAGGGTTCGTGTAGACTTCCAAGATGAGGATTTGGAATTCCAGGTCGGGGGGGCTTCTGGGGCTTACTCGCAGCCATGTTTCCAGCCGCAACAGAACCGCCTTGCTTGCAAGGCAATGGTGTCCCTAATTAAACCCTACATACCCCGCAACGCCCAAAGCCGAAACCCAATGGTGTTCCCTGGTCCGAGCACCTCGGCGCATGTCGTCAGTCACACGAGTCTTCAATGTCTCGATGGGTGTGACGGCCATGATGGCCTGGAGAGCGTAGGTATCGTTCGTTTTTTTTGGTAGAGCGGCATGGAAAGGGCTTCCCATTCAATGTTGACATAGCAGACAAATTCTACCCGAGACAAGCACATACCTGCACTCATGCTTCCAGCCCGCACGGCACACGAAAGACTCTATCGCAGTCCCTGTGCAAGGGACATCTTGCTGCAGGCAATGCCGATGCAAATGGTCTCGGTTTCCCATTTCTCGCGAGATCTTGAACGCAAAGTGCCCTCTCTGTGAAGTACGCTCAGCTTTGGACAATTCCACTTGCGATGCAGTGTGCGAAGATCCCACAACGCGCTGACATGAAGAAGATCAGGAAGATTTAAGGACTTATGGTGTAGTGCCTGGGATAGATGAGATCAGCAAACACCATGTGCGGCCACGGGCATCTGTACTTGCGCCCTAGCCCCCGCCCCCGACACACACACCCACACACACACACACAAACACACACACACACACAAACACACAGACACACAGACACACACACACACACAAACACACAGACACACACAGACACACACAGACACACACAGACACACACAGACACACACAGACACACACACACACAGACACACACACACACACAATATTTTATGGGAAGAGAAGTCTTGCTGGAGTTCCTTGCAACCAGCAATGTAACCTGAACTGCAGAATAAAGACGCACATAACCAGAACATGCCAACTGTCCGCGGTGCAAGAGATGGTGGGACATGCACTTCATGCCGCTGGGAGGTTTCACTGTGGCTACCTGTTAGATGCACACGGAAACACACCGCACAAGATGAGTTGCACGACTTATCACTGAGAACACTTGCACACTGCCTTGAACCGACACCTCTCTCTGTCTCTAGTTCAACAAATAAATTTGGATTTATGCCTACAGGCCCGCATACAGTCGACACATCAGACCGTGAAAGGACATGTTCGTTAGCCGGGTATAACTCTGAATTCGTAAAGACTTCGTAGGCAGCAAGCATGCATACATGCCTACCTGAATAGATGTGTACACACGTACATGCGGAAATCACCTACATACACGGACAACTCACATTCATGCCCACACCCTAACCCAGACCCTATCTAATGGGCTGCTTCTTTCATTTGACCCCCTCAGCCCCTTCGTACGGTACCATATCTGCTTTAAAGACGCACCCATATACTGTCGTGCCGTACCCTTCTTCCCGGCCTCAGAGATACCACCGCAGGCACCGGCCAACATGCGCTTAGGGATTGTGAGCTTGCCCTGGTCATCCTTCAAGCTTTCGGGTTCTTTTGTGTTCAAGTCTTAGGGTCTTACAAAGGGGCCTAGTTTAGGGGTTTCAAGGTTCATAGGTTTATGCTAGGACCGCGACGGAAGGGAAGAGGCTTGCAGAGTTAGAGCAGGAGTCTCGCGAGACTCGAATGGCGCTGCTACCACGCAAAACAAGGCATCCAGAAAATAAAGGCACAACAATGGGGTTCAGCTGTCCGTGCTTACATCAGGCCGACGACACATTCGCAGAAGCGACGCGTATGCAAGATTGCCCGGAAGGATTCCATAGAGTTGCGGCGGCAACTACAACAACAAGCACTACAAGCAACGACGGCTTTCGATCACATAGCAACTGGCGCACTGGCTAGATTTGGGGCTATTTGCACTGGTAGGTGTGGTGGTGGTAGCAGTAGGAAAGTATTTAGTAGTTTTCCCTTTGCAGCGCTATCACAATTCACAAGAGCCCCTCCCGCAATTCAACCGCACGAAAACATGGTACCGACTCGGGTCCTTGAGGGCGTTGGCGGTGGTTTCATAGCCTGCTTCAAAGCAAACGGGCGCATGTTCCCTAAACCCTTTTTGCTGCAGGCTTGCTCCCTAAACCCTAAACCCAATATTTTTATCCTTAAACCCCAAGTCCTAAAGGTATTCGATGGTATTGAAGAAAACTGCTTCTTGAACGAAGGTCTCCAACAGCTCCCGGGAAGCAAAAGAGCCCCAATGACTGAGACGTCATCCTTCACCTCCGGGCTTGACATGTTTCTGCCTCCCTAGGCACTGCGTGCACAAAGCTTGACACTAGGGTTGATGATATAAATCCTGCATTACCTCAAGGACCCTAAACTATGGGACTTATGGTACATTCCTTGCAGGATTTAAATCATCAACCGTAGGGTTTAGGTTTTCGTCAGGGAGCAGTAGGGTTTAGGTTTTCGTCAGGGAGCCCAGATCCGGAACTCGGGTGAAGACTAGCCCTTAAGCTGTTGAGGGCATCTTGCTGAGGTTGAGGAGCTCTTGCTGATGTGCAGCAGAAAATTCCTGATTAGGCCGCTCCTTCAATCATGAACCATGACTGCGCTAGCTATCCCTAGCAACAACCGTCATCGCGTCCGAAGGCAGATCAGCTTCATATTCACCACCACAGCTGATTATTATGGTCATGAGTCCTGATGGCCATAACGATGCTGGCAATGCTGATGGCCATCATCGGCATCTGAACAAGGCATTCACTCGGGCAGCATCACTCCAATCATCACCAGCGGCAAAAAGATGCTGTAACATCCATCTCTTATTCGCCTCGGCCCCAACCCCTTCCCCGGGCCCACATTCGTCGCATTAAACCTTGACGCAAGCAAGTAAGACATCACCTCAGACACACCTGTAGTGACTGCCCAGATCTGCAGCCACTAAGGTCCAACACTCCACACCGCATATGGGTGGCCGTTTATGGCCGTTTCCCTCTAATGTGCTCCAGTCGAGTGTCCAAATTAGTACTTCGAAGTAGCTAGCACAACCTAAACCCGCAAGCGGTCACCGCGAAAATGCAAACGGGGATGCTTCAACCAGGGCCTGAAAACAGAAGGCTTTTCATCAATTCACCAGCCGTCCACATTACAGTCATCCGTTTCCCTGACGTTTCCTGGGTAACTCTACAGACCGGTGCGATCTCACCAAAGACCCGACATGCCCAGCAACAGTAGTTTGTATAGTATATCAAACACACCACAAAAGCCTATTGAATTACTGCGGCCCCTCTCACAGAACCCCAAAACTCTCATTAAACCCCATAAGGACCCCTTTAAAGCCCTCAACCCTCTCATGTTCCCTTCAGTTCTTCCTCTTCCGTCTGAAGCCAGTCCTCCAAGCTCCCCTTTTCCCAGCAAACTTCCCGACCGCCTAGAGCGAACCCCCAGAAGTTGGAACCGGTTTAGGGTTTAGAGTTTAGGCTGTGCTGGGATCCCTTATGCTCTACTTTAAGAGCGTGGAGATTATGATGCTCCATGTTCCAACTTTCCGGGCTCCTACTCGATACACCTCACGATATATTTCTAGAGAGATCCTCAGGTGCAGTCCTCCCAACCACAAGGGTTCCTTCACATGGTTTAAGACCAAACCCTCAAAGCCCTGAGCCCTAAACCCTGCAAAACTCTAAACTATAATGAACCAAAAGCCCCAAGGCCGAAAAGCCCTAAACCTCAAACACCTCTGAACCCCAAAAATGAAAGCCCTAAATCCCAAACACTCACTCTGAGCCACAAAACCTGAAACCCATAAATCCCTGAGCCGGGCCCAGCCTGTCCAGCGTGCCGCCTGCTTACCCGAAGAGCCCAAGATCAGGGGTAATGCCCCACGATAGAGGCCGGTTGGGCCATGCTTCGCAACCTTCGCAAGAGATTTCAGGTGTGGATTCAACTAATCTCACACCTTCCTCCTGACGTTAAGCGGGCCCCCCCTTCCGTCACCAATGAAACTCCGAAAGAAAAGTGCTTGACAGTTTGACGGGGCAGTCAGCTCGGCCGAAGTTATTGGGGGATCTTGCTGTTGCTCTTGCTGCCGCCGCTGCTCTTGCTCCTGCTATGGCTTCCGCTCTTGCTCCCGCTCAAGCTCCTGCTTTTGCTCTTGCTGTCGCGCCTGCACCTGCACTTGCTGTTGCTCCTGCTGGTCCCCCCAAACCAAAATGCATTTAACAGCCGTGGATGTTAAAGGGTTGTTTTTCTGCAAAGTGTTTATAGTATGGGGGGGCGGATGTTTAACACATGCAGGAAGGGATTGGGCTTTAGGGTTCTGACTGTTGGCGCAATTTTGATGATGCTGTGATGTACTGTCTCAGGGCGGAGGGTTCTGGAAAATTTCTCTGTTTCCGGAGCAACGGACATGTTGCTACGTTCGGCACCAGCAGAAGCTGTCAACAGCTCATCCGTCGCACTCCAGGTTTAGGGATTCAGGTTTAGGATAGTTTCGGGTTTCGGGGCAGCGTCATCCTAAAATGAAGTCGCTGTACCTGTGAAGTTTGTGGAGTGGGCGGGGGGGGGGGGGCGGGGGGCTCTCAAACGGCATTGCAAGAGCGTCGTGGCACAGTTGGGAACTTTAACAGGGACTTAACGAAAAGACAACAACGCATGGATCATCCAAGAATCGGTCTTCTTTGCGCAGTCCACCATGCCAGTGTACTCCGGATTGGACTTCGATTGCAGCTGGAGCCTTGGTATAGGCCCTAAGCCCTCAACTGCCCTGACCCTAAACGGATCATGGGGGTGAGATGTGCAGCCGAGTCTCAACTGACGGAGAGCTACTTATGCCAGTGCTCGAAACGACAACTAATCGTAGCTGATAGTATGGGCACGGTAAACCATCATAGAAAAAAACACGGGGTGGCACCATACTATATTCTACACGACACCATACTATACCATACGATAAAACACCATACTTCATACGACTGTACTATACTACTCTATGCTAGAATATATGATGGTATCATAACATGTACACTATACCATACACCATGTGACTGCTGATCAGTCATTGGTGCTTGCGGTCGCCCCTTGCAACTTCGAGAGAGAGCACAAGGGCACAAGGGCACGGGAACAGGAGCGGACCGAACTCAACTTACAAGCCTGAAAATCAGAAGCAACAAAAGTATCCTTCAGTAGAGGCTTTTTGGTCCTCAATGGTAGGTACATCGGCTCTAGCAAGGTGTAGTTGGGGTGCGGGGGGTGGTGGTTGACCCAAGACTAAGCCCAACAAAGACGCTACACCCCAAATTGAGTCTCTGAGTGAAGCTTATCAATGCGGTTATCGAAACCTCAAACTCAACCCTACACCGACACCCCAAACCCTAATATAGGGGCCCAGATAATTGAAAAGTACTCTTGTAGGGGTTCCTTATTATTTTGACTATATTAGAATGGCCCCCAACACCCTATGCTAATTATCAAGGCCCCTATATATTCAATGCGTCAGGCCCCAAGAGTTTGACTCAGTTAGGGTGCGCCAAGGCGTGTCAGACCGGTCAACGAACGATCCGACAAAAGCAACAACTTGCCCCTCTCTCTGTTCCAACAACAGAGCAGAAGCCAGACAGGGAACCCTTAAACTTTCAAACTCTTTGGAACTCTTAAAAGGAGGAAATGCAGCGGTTGTTCATCAGGGGTACTGCAAAGGTTGGAAGGCACAGGTACTAGTGCTACAGAACTCGAACGACGGTTGATTCGGCTACACTCTTTCTGCTTCTCTGTTCTGAGCTTGGGGCCATGTGCTGGACATTTGTTCGGCTCTCTCCAACAAAGCCATGCCGTTCCCCACAGACGTGGACCCACTTGCAGCAAACGCACGGCCGCAGCCAAGGTGCTGTGTCTTGACAAACTCCGTCGGGTAGCAGATGATCGCCTCGATGAAGCCTTTGGCAGACCCACGTCTGTAGAAAGGCCGGAAACACTAGCACTCGAATAGGTTTTGGCTGTGTCTCTCTGCATTGTGGAAGACATGAGGGTCGAGCATGCTGTGTTTTCGAGCTTTCCATCTTCAGCCCTGAGCAGCAGCATCTGAGCCAGAATTTTTTAGGGGCCTTGCTCATTAGAACAGGGTTCAGGGTGTACTACTACTATTGCTACTATACTACTACTACTACTACTACTACTACTACTACTACTACTACTACTACTACTACTACTACTACTACTACTACTACTACTACTACTACTATTACTGCTACTACTACTACTACTACTACTACTACTACTACTACTACTACTACTACTACCGCTACTGCTACTGCTACTACTACTACTACTACTACTACTACTACTACTACTACTACTACTACCACCACTAGCTACTAGGCATGCCAGCCGTGGACTCAGGCCGAAAAGACAGGCACGTCACGACAATCGTGAAGGATCATTACCACCATCACCATCACGATTCACCATCAGCAAAGGCATCATCATCAGCAGCATCATCATCAT